GGTACAAATGGAACGACAAATATATGCTTCATGTTGCATGTTAACCCTCTGCAAGAACGAGGGGTTCTCCCCAAGCCAGCAATCCAAACCACCAAATATTAGATGTTGCCTGACTTTGGCCTTCTTTTTTGACAAATCGAAACTTTTCGGAAAAGGAATGAACACAGTACCCGTCCCACGTCCATTGGCGCAATGCTGTCTGCAAAATGTTATTGTCTGGTTTCTGGCAAGGACTTCCCCCCAGCAAATCATTGTCAACCGCCCGGCAGAACTTGGCAAAACACGGAGGATAACTTGAAACATGTGCGACAAATTGGGTCGCTGGTGGGAATGGAAGAGTTTCCCCATAATTGGACGCTCGCATTGGCTTATGCCAGAAATAAGGGGAACTCCTAAAATGGCTTGGATTCCTTCAAACTCACCCGAAACCAGCCCTGGGCAACTCCCTGCCACCAAATTAATGCCGACAGCCCTAGGTCCGAGCAAGGGGATCAAGCCCGACAAACTCACCAACCCACACCAAGTCACAGCCAGAGGTCAACAAGTAACCGGGGAGGACCATCCAACAAGCCAGCCAGACTGGGGTTAAGCTCCGGCTGTGCTAGTAAAACAAAACTCTCACGATCCCTAAAAATGCGCAAGCCCGTTTGGGAACTTGTAAACATAGAGATTTGGGTCCCAGAAACAGAAATTAAACAATGCAGGGCTTTCGGAAACGACCATCCATCTAAAGGCCCGAAACGTCCAACTCCGACCAAGGTGATACATTGATTAACAATGCGCAGCTTTGCCGCAACCAGCACGGATCTCCTTTTGGCTTCCTCTTTAAAGCAAGGCGAAACGTGCCAAGGCGCGACTCGCCGTAGACTCCCCTCCGCTTTGCCCACAGTCGTATGCACCTGGCGGACCGTTGTCACGCGGAATATGGACGTAAAAAACAACTCAAACAAGCGCATCCTAAAAAACACACCCAACTATGAGTTGTTTGCAAGTTGGCGATTTATCCCAGTCATAGGGCTTCACTTATCTCAGCAGGATTCTGTCCACAGTATGACCTGCTCTTGACGCGACCAAAGACAGTTATTTCCGACATTGCCCTCCAAACTGATCAAGACATCAGATGTGTGTTTGATCGTCCTTTGTTTTTTACAGGGTACCCTTTTCAAGATTGGTTGGAGGGGACTCTGCAAATTGATTGAGCCACCCTTTGTTTTGGTCGTAGTTATTACTGGCGGCCGAAACAGTCTAGATGTTCAACTCTCCCTAGCTGTAGTCTGTCTGGGAAAAAGAACCGAAGAGTCATAATTCAACCCGTCTACCCAAAGCATGGCAAAGAATCTCCAGGGCAAACGTATGTATCCCTGAGATGGTAGCTTCCGGCAACTGAACTGTCCTTTTGGTCTGCCTAACCAACCCGAAACAACAACACCCAGATTCCCACGCCTTGTTTAAAAGGGGGCTATCCCCTACATTCACCTACCCGGGTCACTCAGCCCCCCCTTTTTTTCCAAATAAGAAGGGCTATGAATGCTAAACGAGGCACCGCGAAAACCCCATACACCATGGCCGGCTCGATCAAACATCTCCTCATGGCGGAATAGTAGCTAGAACGGAGCTAAGGGGCTTGACGAACCAACTAGGCAAGCAGTGCAGCAAGTTTAATCTTGGAGGGATTTTGATTGGATTTCGGCTGGATGTTTGTGGCCTCTGGCCGGAAGGCGAGGAAATCGTTGCCCGGTTCTGACAAAGAAACCCCCAAAATCATCGGCCCAGCCGCGATTTTCTTCGGCTTGAAACACAAGGGCTGGCTAACCTCCCTCCACCCCCTCTCCCAAGATTCTGGGATGAGACTCTAACGTCACCGAAAAGTGTTTGTCTCAAAATAGGGGAGAACCATTTAAACAGGCTGGTCTTTTAGATTCCCTCTAAGCCAACCTCAGACAAGGGCACCCTCAAAATGTGACCCACCAAAAGGGGGCTGCTGCGAGCAGAACGGCCTCAGCAGCGCGTGGAAGATTGAAGTCCGCGGTTCCTGGGCAGTTGTCCCCATAGAGATGCCTGCTTTGCTTCTGAAATAATGAGGGGTTAAAGAATTACAAATGATGTGCGACCATGATCATGACTTTTGGTGTCAAGGTTCCCTGCAACCCCATTAAACCTATGATGTTATTCTGAAATTGTACAAATATCGGGGCAAAGAGAGGGTGTACGGACCAGTTGCCGCCCATTCGGCTGGACAGACAAATTTCAGCTGCACAGGTAAAACTTGAGCCCAACAAGTGGAAACTCATGGAGTAAAACATCATCGCTGGATCCGAAAAGACGACTTCATGATGTTGCAGGCTCGGTTTTCTGTGGCCGGCTGCCATTCATCTTTTGAGCCGGGCTGAACCACTGGCAAGCACAAGGAGAGAATTGTGGCGCACAAACAGGGTACGTGGGTGGCTGCGTGTGCGCGAAAGAATGTGTGGGTGCGGTGTGGTGAGGTATGTGAGAGAGGGAAAGTTGTGTGTGTGTGTGGGTGTGCGTGTGCGTGTGCGTGTGCGTGTGCGTGTGCGTGTGCGTGCGCGTGCGCGTGCGCGTGCGCGTGCGCGTGCGCGTGCGCGTGTGCGTGTGCGTGTGCGTGTGCCTGTGCCTGTGCCTGTGCCTGTGCCTGTGCCTGTGCGCGTGCGCGTGCGCGTGCGCGTGCGCGTGCGTGTGCGTGTGCGTGCGCGTGGGCGTGGGCGTGCGCGTGGGCGTGCGCGTGTGCGTGTGCGCGTGCGCGTGTGCGTGTGCGTGCGCGCGTGCGTGTGCGTGTGCCTGTGCGTGTGCGTGTGCCTGTGCGTGTGCGTGTGCGTGTGCGCGTGCGCGCGTGCGTGCGCGCGCGCGCGGGTGTGTGTGTGTGTGTGTGTGTGTGTGTGTGTGTGTGTGTGTGTGTGTGTGTGTGTGTGTGTGCGTGTGTGTGTGTGTGTGTGTGTGTGTGTCTGTGTGTGTGTCTGTGTGCGTGTCTGTGTGCGTGTCTGTGTGCGTGTGCGTGTGCGTGTGCGTGTGCGTGTGCGTGTGCGTGTGCGTGTGCGTGTGCGTGTGCGTGTGCGTGTGCGTGTGCGTGTGCGTGTGCGTGTGCGTGTGCGTGTGCGTGTGCGTGTGCGTGTGCGTGTGCGTGTGCGTGTGTGTGTGTGTGTGTGTGTGTGTGTGTGTGTGTGTGTGTGTGTGTGTGTGTGTGTGTGTGTCTGTGTGTGTGTGTGTGTCTGTGTGTGTGTGTGTGTCTGTGTCTCTGTGTCTCTGTGTCTCTGTGTCTCTGTGTCTGTGTTCGTGTCTGTGTTTGTGTTTGTGTTTGGGTTTGGGCTTGGGTTTGTGTTTGTGTTTGGGCTTGGGCTTGGGTTTGGGTTTGTGTTTGGGTTTGGGCTTGGGTTTGGGTTTGTGTTTGTGTTTGTGTTTGGGTTTGTGTTTGTGTTTGTGTTTGCGTTTGCGTTTGCGTTTGTGTTTGCGTTTGCGTTTGTGTTTGTGTCTGTGTGTCTCTGTGTGTCTCTGTGTGTCTCTGTGTGTCTCTGTGTGTCTCTGTGTGTCTCTGTGTGTCTCTGTGTGTCTCTGTGTGTCTCTGTGTGTCTCTGTGTGTCTCTGTGTGTCTCTGTGTCTCTCTGTGTGTCTGTGTGTGTCTCTGTGTGTCTCTGTGTGTCTCTGTGTGTCTCTGTGTGTCTCTGTGTGTCTCTGTGTGTCTCTGTGTTTCTCTGTGTGTCTCTGTGTGTCTCTGTGTGTCTCTGTGTGTCTCTGTGTGTCTCTGTGTGTCTCTGTGTGTCTCTGTGTGTCTCTGTGTGTCTCTGTGTGTCTGTGTGTGTCTGTGTGTGTCTGTGTGTGTCTTTGTGTGTCTTTGTGTGTCTGTGTGTGTCTGTGTGTGTCTGTGTGTGTCTGTGTGTGTCTGTGTGTGTCTGTGTGTGTCTGTGTGTGTCTGTGTGTCTGTGCTGTGTGTGTCTGTGTGTGTCTGTGTGTGTCTGTGTGTGTCTGTGTGTGTCTGTGTGTGTCTGTGTGTGTGTGTCTGTGCGTGTCTCTGGGTGTCTCTGTGTGTCTGTGTGTGTGAGTGTCTGTGTGTCTGTGTGTCTGTGTGTCTGTGTGTCTGTGTGTCTGTGTGTCCGTGTGTCCGTGTGTCTGTGTGTCTGTGTGTCTGTGTGTCTGTGTGTCTGTGTGTCTGTGTGTCTGTGTGTCTGTGTGTCTGTGTGTCTGTGTGTCTGTGTGTCTGTGTGTTGTGTGTGTGTGTCTGTGTGTCTGTGTGTCTGTGTGTCTGTGTGTCTGTGTGTCTGTGTGTCTGTGTGTCTGTGTGTCTGTGTGTCTGTGTGTCTGTGTGTCTGTGTGTCTGTGTGTCTGTGTGTCTGTGTGTCTGTGTGTCTGTGTGACTGTGTGTCTGTCTGTGTCTGTCTGTCTGTGTGTCTGTCTGTCTGTCTGTCTGTCTGTCTGTCTGTCTGTCTGTCTGTCTGTCTGTCTGTCTGTCTGTCTGTCTGTGTCTGTCTGTGTCTGTCTGTGTCTGTGTGTGTCTGTCTGTCTGTCTGTCTGTGTCTGTCTGTCTGTCTGTCTGTCTGTCTGTCTGTCTGTCTGTGTGTCTGTGTGTCTGTGTGTCTGTGTGTCTGTGTGTCTGTGTGTCTGTGTCTCTGTGTCTCTGTGTCTCTGTGTCTCTGTGTCTCTGTGTCTCTGTGTCTGTGTGTGTTTGCGTGTGTGTGTGTGTGTGCGCGTGTTTGTATGTTTGGGAACTGCGTCTGCATGTGTGTGGTATTTGTGGGTTGTGTGGGTGGTGGTGTGTGTGTGTGAGTTTTGTGGGCTGTGCGGGCTGTGAGTAAGTTGAGTGTAGGAGGAGTGGGGGGTGAGTCGGGAGCAACCCTTAGCAACCTCAAAGGAACTTCTACTGAGTGTGTGGGGGCAGGAATCATCTGGGCGGGATTGTACACTGAGGGTTCCGGCTTGATGTTCAACCGAAGAGTCCGTGATGGAAATATCAGCTCTGATGTACCGCTGAAGGACAGTAATGCGGCGCCTTATTCTTCCAGGATGCGAAAGTCGGGTTGGACCCAATAAAGCAAGTTGAAGACTGCCTCCACATTTTGGGATAAGCTTGATGAGGGGCTCTTTTCTTGTCTTGCCGAAACCGAGGTTGCGAGTTATAACAATAAATGAAGGACCCACAAGATACTATGGATCCTTCAAGAGCTCACTGGCAACAACAGATTGGCGATCGGCCCTTTGATGGGAAGCAAACCCAGCTCTCAGCAAGTCTGGAGGGCCCTTGGTATGTTTAACTTTTCACAAAGAAAACCATCCGGGAACTGTATGATGTCATGCTCCAACTCCCCTCTGAACGCGAACGAGATCCGGCCTGCTTTTTGGCTCGCAGAACAAAACTACGGGTCAATGGGAACCCAGGATCAATCAACCTCTGATTGATTTTCCATGGGGGGTTCCATTTTAGGGATCCGGATCGCTTTAGGGGGCAACATGTTCGCCAGGTTGATGAAAACCCGGAGTCACCATTCCCGAGTCCAGGAACCAAACCCTACAAACAAACAACTGAAGAATTTCGGCTCAGCCTAGGACCAGCCCCTTGCTTGGGTCCCTTAAGCCAACTGATCACGAAAGTCAAATCGGAGAGCACTACATACGGGGCATAACCCAAAAAAACCAACGGTCAGCTAACCGCATCACTGAATGATGAGCTAGCTGATGCTTGGTGGAACTGACTCTTTGCGCAGGTTTGGAGACTTTTGTCGGGGCCTGATTATTTTACCATCAAGCCCACTCACTCCCCAAGTGATAGTTAAAGGGAAACAAACCGGCTGACTTTGGCAACCTCTGGGAACAATAATGATCCCAGGGATGCGTACTCATTCTCCAAAATTGAAACGCAAAAGGTCACAAGGCGAACAACACCTCACTGCCCGGGCTTGAGTTGTCCTGGTGTTAAACGAGGAACCCCCCAGACCCAACCCTCATTAGGGCGGTCCTTCCAGTTGAATACGGGTGCGCGCCAATTCCAAGATGCAAAGGTCCATCCATATTTTTTTCGCCGCGATCTTCCCAGAAAGCCACGAAGCTCAACTAGGTCCTCCAGTAGAGAGGTGAGAATAAGGGTACCCTTTTTTTCTGTAGTCTATTGTAGCAGCGGAACCCTCCCCCCCCAAAAAAAAAGGTAAAAGGGCACTACTGGGGGACCTAGTCAAAGCAGAAACTCGGGTGAGGCAGGAGGTCCCTCGCCCTTCGCGAAACTTCCCGCTGTCAAACCCAGAGGAGTGGCCGACTCCAGGATCTTGCAGGCGGCCACACGCGCGATGGTCGCTGCCCTGCGCCCGAGGCCCGTCGACCCCGAACCCATGAAAACCCATGAAACCACCCCCCCCCCCCACCCAGAAAGGACACCCAGGGAAGAGTTGAAAGCGCTGAAGGGGGCTAGGGAAGGCCAAGTGAGGTCCTTTCCAGCGAACCCCCAGGCAAACCGCCGGCAATTGAAAGGAATCAGCAACAAATCAACCCCTGTTGGTGGGTTCCTACTGGAGTCCATTCTCAACTTCAGGCTGTTTCTGAGACAGCTGAAAGAGAGAGAGAGAGAGAGAGAGAGAGAGAGAGAGAGACAGTGCGGGTTTTCAATCGCTACACAAAGAAGGGAGCCTCAAAAAAAAACTAAACTCGCAACTCTATGTGGGCCCCTCAAGTTGTCAAGTCCCTTAGCTCGAGTGACCGAAACCTATTGGCTGATGGTTCTGATGGCAAGATAGAGGCTGATATTATTAGGAATACTATAGCCCTACTTAAGTTAGGTAGGGCTAAAATTGCCTATACAGATTTAAAACCACTAAAAATGGGTGCCCCAAAAGATCCCCAAAAGAACACACACACACCCATGTGCGCCCAGATGCAACTATCTTGAAGCCCCCACAGATTCGAATCCATCGATGCCTGATTCCCCCTGACTCTGCCGTCTCAAAATAACACCGTGCTCAAAAAATGGTACCCATGTTGAAATGGAACCCTGGATGGAGGGGTAGAGGAACACCTGCGTGTCTTTCAGCTGTTGCTTTTTTGGGCAGCCATTTACATGCCGAGCTCACATCGAGTAGCCTTTGGAGATCCTGGAAGGTAGCCGAGAGGTGCTGTAACCCAAGTTGAAGGGCTACAGTGTGAAAGATGGCACCCAACAAAAGGCTTAGTCGTCCCCTTTACCCAAACAAAAATGTGCCATCTGCCTTTTTCTGCATTGCCTGCTGAACTCATCTTGAAACCGGGCTTCAGCAATCGACGTCAAACGCTCTCCAAACATGTAAGGGCAGGCTCCCTTTCCGACACTCATCTTCCGAGGGACTTGTTTCGGGGTTTCAAGATCCCCTATCGCCTTTGGACGGCGACTTTTGTTCCTTTCCGGCTTCCTTTCCGCCCAAGAAAAGCCTCTCTTCCACATTTGGTGCCTCGTCCAACAAAGACGCCCCGGCAACCAGCAGGCTTCGCTAACAAAACGAGCAGAAGGGCACACCACACCCCTTGAGGGAAACGAAGAAATTGGCATACTCTCAATCAAAAACCGAGATGAGGGCACCTCTTAGAATAATTTTTCATTAGCAGCGTCGCCCCCCAGGTCAAAATAATGAGCCCAGAAATGCAATTTGCAAGGTGTGGGACCTTTCCCAGGGCTTTTGGACAAGATTTGCAGCCAACTACTCAAACTACCCCAAAGCAAAAAAGACACACAGAGAAACAAAAAAAGGCCCCAAAAGGTGATGAAATTTCAATCGGGCAAAACGTCAAGAACAACGAAGACCGGTTTTAAGATTTCCTCACTTCCCAAACAAGTCCAAACTGTTTGCCGCCAAACCGGTTCCCAAAAGTTTCAAGTCCAGGAACTCGGGAGACGAGTTTCGTTGTTCAACCCCATCCGACGGAATTGCCAATTAGGTCCAAAGGGCACGCGGCTGTTGACATTCTCCGGTGAACTCGAAGACACGTCCAAGTCGTTGGCCAGCAGCAACTTCACCGCGATGCCTGCGGGTCTCTCTCAAACGGCCGGGTTTGCAGTGCTGCCATTTGCTTAAGCCCCCTGGAAAAAAGAAACATATTTCCAGGCGTGATAGCTTCCCTTTAAAACCAACAAGGGAAAATAACACTATGCTTGAGCAAATGGAAGAGTGCAAGTCCACCAATTGCAACTCGAGCCACTTGAGTCGCAAGTACCGATGGGTATAAACATGGTAACCCCAGAGCCATGTAAAGAATGAAGAAGGCGGCCGCATCCATTGCGGCTTGGGACTGCCCCTTACCAGCCTTCCCTTACCCGGGTTTTGATTGTGACTCACTTGTTTTGGGGGCGTTTGAAGCGGGATCCCCGCGCTTCTCGGGCTCTGAATCTTCGCACTGCCATTGAGATACAATGGCCTTCCTTTCGAGTACTCAGCCTAAGATTGCTTTGGGCGAACCAGGTCTGAAGATGTGTCAAAGTTCCAAAGAAAGTGGGCAACAATTAACTTGAACTTGTTTGGAAGCAAAAAGTGTCCGTTCGAGTAAATGCCGCTCTGGCGTTTTGTGGCTTCGTTTTTCCTTTGGCTTTCCCTCCCAAACCCACCAAACACAGACACATGTTTCCCTTCAACAAAACCAACACGAACAAATTTGCTCACTCCCAGAGTGGGTTGTCCAAAAAAGTATAAACCTTCTATTTACCACCAAAAATGGTCTTCCCCAAAAGTGTAAATTCCATGAGCCCAGGAACCAAGTTTGGGCCAGTGGCATCTTTACCATGGGCATCCAATCTCGCCTTCGGTTTTCGCACTAAAAAAAGGCCGCCGGCCTGAGAGCTTGAATTCCAGGCCGGCAGAGTGGAGCATGCCGTCACCCCCCGCTGGGTGAATGCCCTCGAGACGGTCTGAGCCGGCGAGCAAAGTGCTGGGAACCAAAGCATACCCAGCAGTGGGCAAAAACAGAATACGCTTGTGTGCTTTGGCGTGGTTTGGTGTGTGTGTGTGTGTGCTTTGTTGTGTGTGTGTGTGGGTTGGTGTGCTTTTTGCTTTTGTGTGTGTGTGTTTGTGTGTTTGTGTGGTTGTGTGTGTCTGTGTGTGGGTGTGTGTGTGTGCATGCCTGTGAATGTCTGTGGTTGTGTGTGTCCGTGTGTGTGCGCGCGTGTGGTTTTGTGTTGGTGTGTGCATGTGTGTGTGTGCGCGTGCGTGCGTGCGTGCGTGCGTGCGTGCGTGCGTGCGTGCGTGCGTGCGTGGGTGTGGGTGTGGGTGTGGGTGTGGGTGTGTGTGTGTGTGTGTTTTGATGTGTGTGTGTGTGTGTGCTTGTATGTCTATGTGTGTGTGTGTGTTGGTGTGTGCATGTGTTGTTGTGCGCGCGCGCGCCTGTGTGTGTGTGTGGGTGCGTGCGTGCGTGCGTGCGTGCGTGCGTGCGTGTGTGTGTGTGTGTGTGTGTGGGTGCGTGCGTGCTTGCGGGCGGGGCGTGCACAGCAGAGAGCGCTTACGGATACCCCCGGCTCTCAGGATGGCAGAGGGAGCAGCAGCTAGGTAAAAAGGACCTTCTGCTTGCGATCGTTTGTCTGGATGTGTGTGTGTGCGTGTGTGTGTGTGTGTGTGTGTGTGTGTGTGTGTGGGTGCGTGCGTGCGTGCGTGCGTGCGTGCGTGCGTGCGTGCGTGGGCGTGCGCGTGCGCGTGCGCGTGCGCGTGCGCGTGCATGTGCGTGCGTGTGCGTGTGCGTGTGCGTGTGCGTGTGCGTGTGCGTGCGCGTGCGCGTGCGCGTGCGCGTGAGCGCGTGAGCGCGTGAGCGCGTGAGCGCGCGCGCGCGCGCGCGCGTGCGGGGGTGGGTGGGGGGGTGGGTGGGTGGGTGGGTGGGTGGGTGTGTGTGTGTGTGTGTGTGTGTGTGTGTGTGTGTGTGTGTGTCTGTGTGTGTGTGTGTGTTTGTGTGTGTGTGTGTGTTGGCTGGTATGTGTGTGCGTGTGTTGTTTTTGCTTTTTTTGCTTCGGTGTTTGTGTTTGCGTGGGTGTGCATTTTTGAATGGGTGTGTGTGTGTGAGAATGTTGGTGTGTGTGTGTGTGTCTTTTTGTGTTGGTGTGGTTGTGTGTTGGTGTGTGTTGGTGTGTGTTGGTGTGTGTTTGTTTGTGTTGGTGTGTTTGTGTTGGTATGTGGATGTCTTGGTGTGTGTCTGTGTGTGTGTGTTGGTGTGTGTTTGTGTTGGGGTGTGCGTGTAGGTGCGTGCGTGCTTGCGTGCGCTTCCATTGCTGGTTTCAAAATGTTGAAACGTCATCTATGAGCACGTGCTTCTTGAGCTTCAACCCCGTGTTTGTTTTATTATTTTTACATTTATTATTATGTTTATTTTCCCGAGGACTCACCTTTGACCCCCGGACGACTCAATCAAGTTCCAGGAATGCCCGTGAGAGCTCCACATTCAAAGGATCCCAGCCCCCCCCCCCATTGGCAAATTCTCAGTTTGACTCGCCGAGCATACAGAGCAGCCTGCTCTTTTCACAGGCATTGAACTGCCAGCTTTTACTATTGCTAAGGCTTACTAATACCAAGCCATGGCAAGTGGCAATCCTTGGCAAGCAATACTTGGCTCTATCAAGAACATGCACTTCACAAGCTTTTGCCTCGAGCGGCGCTAAGCTGTCTCATTATTCTTCTTCTTCTTCTTTTTTTTTTGGGGGGGGGGGGGGGGTAGGGACTGTATGACCCATGGGCGAGCTCGCTTTAGCCACTCGTCTCAATCAAGATCCAACGCTTGCCCTCCTTCTGGGCATGAAACGGTCAAAATTACTTCCCAGGACATGAGTCCCCAGAGTTTTGTGCGGTCTAGAGCGAGTTCCCCTAGACGAATTACCGCACAGTTGCACCAAACCTCGTGCTAAAGCTTACCCTAAGGGTTCGGAAAGCGTCCAACCCCAGAGATACGGCAAAGAAAAAGGCGACACAAGGTGACACGTGATATGCACGGCGAATGATGAAAGTGCTATCATGGCTGTCATCATTTTCCGGTGACATGGCTTGAATTTGGCTTTCTAGCACTCCACAACCCGAAAATTGAATTGCTCAAGGCCCTAGTAAGTTCAACCTGCGTAAGCAAAGGGTCCAACTCCCTGCTTAAGCATGTCTAAATCACTTCAAACAATCTCCTTTCGATTGGGAAACAACACCCATGACATGTCACCCACACTTCTCCGCCGCCCACTGGAAATGAAGAGAGCCACAAAGCGAAACAGCCAAAACACATGGCAAGAACAGCGATGTGGTGTAAACAAATGAATGCTTGCAACCAAGCCCTAGCGAAAATGGTGCAGAGCTCTCTCAAAGAGCAATCCGCATGGATCAGTGACCCTCCGGCAACCTGCAACCAACTTTGATCCCTGTCCTTTGCGTTTTTTTTTTTACAAATCTCCAACCGAAACATCCTGCAAAAGGAAGCTCACCTTACATGGGCCGAAAAAAAGGACGTTTAAAACCATCCGTCGTTGACATTGTCAGGGACCCCTATGGAACCCTGTTCTCTGTGGACACGGCCCTGGCTTGCTTAGGGTCGACCTAGGCCTAGGCGCCCTTTATCTCATTTGACCAAGAGGCCTCAGCCTGCGCCCGCTGCAGCTCAGTCTCTAGCGCCTCACCGGAAGCTTCTCAATGAGACCAGGTATTTCCTTATTAGTGCCAAATGGACTTGCGCACTGTCACTAATCTGATTCATCTGATTATCTCAAGTGCGACATCGATATTTCCCATTCTTTCATTTCGTAAGTCATGACTGAATGTGGTTTTGAATTCCACCGCGACCCAGTTCTAATTGTTGAGGCCCTTGTACAGTCTGTCTAATCATGGAAGTGGACAGAAGCCATGTTTAGACGACCAACAGGGAGAGTCCCAGATTTTGAGTAAAAACCTTGGACCGTTGCGTGGGCGCCCTTTTACACTCAAAAAAAAGTGTCGAACCATGTTTGAAGGCTGTGACAATTCAAGCCCGAACCTGCTCCAAAAGAGTGTCGCATTGCCAAAACTCGTGCGTGAAAAATGCGCGACCTCAGACGTAGTCGTCTTCCGAGGGGCCTCTTAAGGGCCCTGGACCTCCAAAAACACAATTCTAAGGGTTGATCCCCGTTTTTTCTAACCAGCGTTCTTTTCGGAAACTTGACGTTTCCCTCGGAGGTTGTCTAGAAAGAAGGATCCCTGGAAAGACTGGGGGAGGTTGCACTAGAATAATGAATCTTGGAGAACATGATTCAACCCTAGCAAGGAAATCCGGGGTCATCTTAAGTAATATGCCCCTATTCACATTACGTGCAAACCCACTACACAACATGGAAGCCCTCAGAAGGTCGCTTGAAAGGAGAAATGGTCTTCCAGGACCTTCCACAGTCAGGTTCTCAATGTTGGCTTGAACACTTTGCATCTTGTCGGTGACACTGCCTTCACTTTTGCACTTCTCAGTTTTTGAAGTGATCTCCTTGCCTTCTTGAGAGTCCCTGTCATTTCGCTGCAAAAATCTACCCTCCAACTTCTAAAGTCAACCTGGAACTCGAACCGAGCTCAACCTCTACCTGCTACTCAAACAGAACTCTTTTCAACACCTCTTGGGGAAATGATTCGGTTTTCCCGGAAATTCCACACTCGAAGCTTCCCGATTTTCTCAAACCTAGAGCTCCAACCTCTAACGCCGACCTAATCTAACCCGAAACTCTGCATTCTATCCCTCCTAGGTCCGGTAGAGAGGCTTGAATAAGGGCACCCGATGTTTTTGTTTGTCTATTTTGATAGGGCCCCCCCCCAAACAAGGGTAAAAGGGTCCTCGCGCCTGCAGCATCTCCCATAGCGCCACGGATTCGGGCACCAGGTACACCAAATCCAGTACCTCCAGTCGGTCTCCAGTCGGTCTCCCAACAAAATGGGGATTTTACGGGTGAATGACTAGAACGGAATTGACACTCGTGCCCATATGTTTAGTTAAGCTGACCAAAGAATGACGTCTATAGTTCCATCTTTTGAGCAATAGACTGTGCTGTTCAAAGAATGGGTTGAATCCGAGTTTTCGTAATGCGTATTGCATCACCAAAAGGGAACCAACTCCTTGTTTCCTCCAACTGTTCGTCAGTAAATTTGAGATCAACATTGTGCTAAGATTGAATAAGTGCCTGTGTGTCATAGGAGGTACTTGGCTTTTTTTGTAGCTTGAAGGTGGTTGAAGGGAAACCAAAGCCATGCCAAACGGACACCAACCAAATTTGTGAATTCAACAACACTCACCTCAAAACAGATCTCAAGCATTCCTCTTGGTCGAAACCCCTGCCATTCGCCCATTCGCGCCCCTTTGGCCCCTTTCTCACTGGACTTCTGGGTGACCACCTCTCCAAAAAGAAGTCATCTGCGCAAATGTCTGCAAACTGAAGCGGGCTCCCGAACTTCCTGAAAACTTCATCCCCAACTTACCGTCGGACCGTCCCCCCCAAAAAAGGAAAGGCCTAAAGCCCACGTTGGGCAACAGCTTCAATCTAGTTTTCTTGCGAGACGGGTTGGTCGGAGGGGTGGGGGATTGCCGCAAAACGGACCGGCTTGCCAACCCACCCCTCACTTTTGAACTTTGGATTGGAAAGAGTGATACCAATAACATTAAAGAGGGAAGAAACGTGATCCCCACCTATCAGCCAACGTTTATTCTTGGAACAGCTCTCACACCGAAGCTGATCTGCTTGCAACAAATGCGCTCGAGCATCGCCCCGCAGAGTCTCACTTCCAACTTCCCACTGATTGGCCGGCTCCCAAAATGAGCTGGTGCTTGTTTTTGCGGATATTTGTTGGGAGCTGGTCAGCGGGGAACCTAAAGGGAGAACACCTTCTCAGGGGTTCCGCTAAATTGAGACACTGATTGTCGAGCAGCGAACTCGAAGCCAACAATGCTGAAAGTGAGCATCATGTTCTCTTCACCGCAATTGACCCAGATGTTGTGGGCTAATGCGATTACTTCACTCAGTGTCTTTGCATCCCTATCATAGCTGATATCAAATCAACAGGGAGCTGCACTTCCCGCCATTTCGCATAGAGGCCCATTCGGCTTGTTCATGTCGTGGTTAAAAAAGTGGCCACCCACTTGCAATTGCCTAGGTGAATGGTAATGATTCACTAGCCTAAAATACAGGATTCCTTATTTTATGCACCCTTCAAACATCACCCCACCAAAACGAACATCTAGCAAGATTCGCCCAACCAGTGATGTTAAACCATCAGGAAGCTCTACAGCAAACACACTGGGATTTGGTATCACTTCGCAAGTTAGGGAGTTCCGCTCGGTTTCCTGGAGAAACATCCCGGTGACTTGCCCATGGGGACGGACGAAGCTTAACAATACTTGGGATAAACCACGTAGTAACTGGTGCGATATGTTGTCCGTCAGTAGGTTTCTTAGACATCGCCGCCATCCAACGACGCCCCGACAAGAAGCAACACACGACGACGCCCCCATGGCTGGCAAATGGTGGGTGGAATGACCTCCCGATGGCCGTTTTGGGGTTATTTGCCATTGGGGGGTCCTGGCAGTGCCCTTCTTCCCTGCTTGCGGCATTGGCCCATCAGCCCATCAGCCCTTCAGCCCTTCAGCCCAACTGGCCTCGCCATTTCTCAGCGAAATCTTTCCTGAATACATTTGCTTCACGCTGATCGGGAGGAGCTCGCCCCCGATGCCTCGCGCTTCAATTCAACCCCGATCATGAACTTGAATTCTTCGGTTTTCCCCCACAACAAATATCAAGAATGTACCAGGCGGAAAATCGAGCAAATCGACCCCAAAGGTGACGTGGCTGTTCGCCGGGGAGAAACAAGTGGAAGTCTGGCGGCAACACAATGGCAAACGAGTCTCTGTGAGAAACGCTCAATGGCACCCTGTTTGCACCCCAATGGTCGAACTTTGGGGGCATCTAAACAAATATGTTCATATTCTGGTCCACGTGGGTATGTGTCAGGGGGCCCAAATTGTGGTTTCCTTTGGCTTCCCTTTAGGCCAACCCCAAAAGGCACCCTCAAAAAATCCTACTCCGTTATTTAGTCGGCCCCAAAATATGGGTGCGTACCCTGAGAAGAAAAAATAACTCCGACATTCAGTCTAATCTTGGAGGAGACTCCATGGTCCAATGGTGGGATCGCCGCCAAAATCGGCGCAGCAGAAGGCCGGGACACGCCATGTGACGCCAGGAAGGTGGGTGAGGCGAACTAACCAGCGCCAGGTGCCGCCAAGTACAAACGGCAAATTCTCCCACGTTGGTTTGGTCATCTCTTGACTTGATTTCGATAAAGAAGATTTCGCCATTTACTTTCACCATGAAGTCAAGCATAATTCTGGCTTCGTGATATCATTCCCCGCATGGTTATCGCCATGAGCCAAACACAGTCTGAGTGTTTCCTGTTTTTCAGTCCTGTTCAGAAACTGGCACAGATTTGGCCAGGTTTCGCGGTTCATGGGCCTCAGCATCCAGAACCTGTCTGGGGTCCCAATGCTTAGGCATTTAGCCTTTGCATACGAGCAACTCTGATTGGACGCCCAAATCCAGGCAACTCTACTCCTTGGGTGTGTCAGTGCATCAAAAAAAACGCAAAAAGCGCGACGGCAAAGAACTGTCCGTCTGCTGTTGGTGCCCCCTCAAACCTCTCCAAAAAAGGTTCAACATGTTGAGACATACCTAAACGCGAGGCATAAACACAACCTCACAAATTTCATACTTCCATACCTGGCAGGCAATTGATGGGAATTCAGGGATCCTTTCAAAAGGAGCCCCTTTTTGACAACCAGGAGTGTCCTCTCTCCTGCACATGCCTTATGCAAAAATGAGAAAAGAAACAGACCAAAAAAGAGCTTAACGACCAGGCTTCCCAATATGTGCCTTTTGGCCAGCTGCTTTTTGAAACAATGAGAAGGGTTGTAACATGGGGAAACTCATCTTTTCAGTGATGCTACTTTGTGGTTGCCATTCCCATAACTCGCTTATATATCACTATGGCCAGACAGCCTAGCTTCAGCCAATAACAAGCAAACCATTGACCAAAATGATGTCACAACCCAGATGTTCAAGTGCAAAAGGCGAGCTCATGAGCCGCATTGTGGGTCGATCACTTGAACACTTTAGTTTCAGAAACCCTAACCACTTCCATTCGAGTAGAATCACCAAGCGCCGAATGAAAATACACAAATTCCCCAACCCCCGGAGCGCGAGCATCTTGTGGGTTTCTGCTACCTTCCAAGGGGAGATTTCCACACAACAAACCAGACCGACAGACTCCGCACATCGTAGCATTTGTGTGTTTTTTGGGGGCATCATGAAGGTCGGGATCTGTATCCACCAACCTCTCTTGAAGGGCTCCGTCCATAAAACACATGGGTAGGTGTCAAACTACGGGAACCCAAAATAGGTGGCTTCCTTTTTGGTGTCCTTAAAAGCGCAACCCCAATGTAGCAATCAATAACATATCAGGCAACCCTCACTTGGTGGCTTGGATTGATTGGGGGTTTGACCCCCTTGTTCATCTGAATGGGAAAGCACCCACCAGACCTAACCAACGGGCTCCAAATTGTCTTCAAAAAAAGAAGAGAAGGAAAGCTGACAAACCGAGTTTCCCATCTCGCATCCCCTCCTTCAGCATCCCGTGCACCACACAGTTGATATAGTACTTCCCTGCAAATGCTGGTCAGGCACTCCTGACGAAGCCAAACATGCGCGCACGCGAAAGACGACGCCAGTCGGAATGCTCCGAAAGAACTGGGGTCAAACCCAAAACATCGCCGAGAGAAATCGGCCGGAACAAATTCAGCTCCCCCCAAAAAGATTGAAAGCGCAAGTGCAATCCCGAGCCCCTGAACCCCCTGGAACCGTCTCCAACTCTCCCAAGCTCCACCAACCAGAGCCTGTCTGGGCGGAGACCCCATAGCTTTCTGTTGAGAAAAATCCATCAACTCTGTGGATGTACATCCAATG